AATGTTTTAGCAAATTTTTCTCATAATATTCCAAAAGAAATTAAAATTTATTTTTGTGGAGAAAACATGGATCAATTTACTATTTCCTTTTTTATTTGTCAATAACTTTTCGGCAAAGGGCCAAATATATCCTTCTACTTCCAAATATTGTTTACCTGTACCTTTCGTTATACTATTGGGCTATCCATACCCCTACCGTCATACTTTGAACAAAAATACCCCTATTTTGGATGGAGCACCAGATTAAAATGACCCATTTCTTTTTTTTACCCAATCCGTTTTACAAAAAACCCACAACCGAACCATATTTTCATTTTTCAGTTTTTTTTAAAGAATTTTCTTTTTGTAAAACTTAAAAAAATTGCAAAATATTTTCGTTTTTTTAAACTGAGTAGATACTAAAAAAATTTTGCAAAACAAATTGTAAAAGCTGAAAAAATCGTTTTTTTAACAATTTTTTTTTTGCAAAAACTGTAAAAACTAAAAAAATTGTAAAAATTGAATTTTTTTCCAGTTTTTAACAAAATATTTCCGTTTTGTATAAACTGAAAAAAATATTTCCAACAAAATATTTTCATTTTTGAAAAATGTTTTTTTTCCAGTTTTTTTAAAGATTTTCTTTTTGTAAAAACTGAAAAAACAAATTTGTATAAATTGAATTTTTTTTTTTGTAAAAACAGAAAAAAATATTTTCGTTTTTTAAAAACTGAAAAAATTATTTTCAACAAAATATTTTCTTTCATTTTTCCAGTTTTTAAAAGAATTTTGTTTTGTAAAAACTGGAAAAACGAATTTGTAAAAACAGGAAAAAATATTTTTTGTTTTTAACAAAATATTTTCATTTTTTAAAAACTGAAATTAAAAAAAAATGGAAAAAATGAAAATAGGGGTCGAGTTGTGGTTTTTTTAAAAATGGGTCGGGTAAAAAAAAGAAATGAGTCGTTTTAATCTGGTGTTGCCACGTGGCACTCCATCTAAAATAGAGTTATTTTTGTTTCAAAGTATGACAGTAGGACTATAAATAACCCAATAGTACGATGATAGGGGTATAAATAGACCAATATATAACGAGGGGCAGAGGTAACAAGATGCGCCATCCACCCCCCAAGTGGAGATGCGCCATTATTAGGTGCTACTAATTGTTAGCTAACGCATAATAATACGACTGAAAAGATAAGGAAAAAGGCAATTAGCCAAGGAAGAATTCAAATTAGCTTATTATGCCCAGAGTTTTTCTTCATTGAGTTATATCCTGTAGAAGATTGAAGAGCTCACAGGTACTGCTTTCCTCTCATATATATTATACTACATACACAAATTTCAAGCAAGTATTATTATTATTATGGGTCCATCGACGGTTCGCTTCTTGTCTGCATTTTCGGTATAATACGTTGTCGTTTTACCAACTAATTAAAAAGATAGAGTATGATTTGGAGTGTAGTAATTGAGAGCAAGAATTTCAATAACACTGTTTCAATATTCTTTGTAGGTAGATACAGGAATTAACTTGAGTCATACTGGGCATTGTCCTAATAAACTATTTCAGCAATGTGAAATGTTTCTCCACGATTAAACAAGCTTACCTCTATTTTATTTAGAGAATCATCAAAATATTTATATAACAATAATCCAACAATATTGAAAAGAGAATAGGACAAAGAAATGGAAATAAGGGAAGCTAAGAGAGAAAGAGAAGAAGGGCCAAGTAGAAAAGCACTTCTGATGGTGGATGAATTGTGCAGCCAAATGATGGCTATTTATAATTGTAATTGCATGTAAATTTGTTGTGCATGGCAAGAAAGTGGCTGATCAAGTTTGCCACTTAGCATAGCCTTCTAGAATGGCTTAGACACTTGTCCAAAGCCTTTAAAATATTTCCACATGGACTACTAATTTGTGGGGTTTGGCGTGAACTTACACTATGTTTGGATCATTCTTCTGCATCGTTTTGTAATGTATTGTATTGTATCGTATCGTTTTATGAATACAATGTTTGGATATATTGTATTGTTTGTTCTTGTTAAAAAATATTTTGCTGTTTGGTTTGATTGTATCGTACTGTATTGTAACTGATAAGTTTAGTAAAATACCCTCAATTGTTTAAATATTAAATTTATCAAAAATTATGCATAAAAATAATTTAAAAAACAAAACAGAAGAAGGCAAAACACCTTAAGAAAGTAGAACAAAGTAGCGAGACAGAAAAAGGCAAAACAAAGGAGCACAACTAATTAGAATTGAGTTAAAAGCAAATTAGGAGAAAAAATAAAACAGAAGGCGGCAGAAGTTCTGGAAAAAAATAAAGCAGATTATAGGTTGGAGATTTGGAGTTAAAATAGCAAAAAAGGTAAAGGGTAAAATAGAATTGTGGAGTAATAAGTAAGGCCATAATTGAAAAAAAAAGGAAACAATCCCACCACACCAAATTGGTTATTTCAAAAAAGGGGACTTTTCACTGTTCCGGAACAATAGATTTAACAATACAATACAACCAATTTTAATGAAACAATCAAAACAAACATTGTTTTGTGATAACAGTATAATACGATACAATGGGGAACAACCATCCAAACAAGCTGTTAGTTTTTGTTTCCCCCCCCCAAATTGTTTAACAATATATATGGTTTAAGTCAAAGGTTATGGGTGTGGCTATGATCATATTCTATGCGTACCCAAAAGGGTCGGATTGGTGACAGGTGTCAATTTAAGTGTTTAAGATAAGTATTTTAAAATCAATGAATGTATATAAGCTTTTCTTTTTAATGACAATTAAGGAATTAAAACTTCTTTTTGTATTCCCTTGAGTTTGATAAAGATCATATTGTTCTGTGCCAGTTCAGATGCAGAGTCACTATAGTGTATTTGTTAGTTTGAACTGAGTGAAAGAAAGTTACCTTTTTATTTTTTTTATTTTAAACTTCTTTTTCTGGAAATTCCGTCTATATGAGCTTGCAAAGCATAGCCTGTTCCTACTCCCTATCCTGGATAAAAAAGGTGGTTGTGATAGATTGACGGCAAGTAATAAAATTAGTTTATGATGAATCCTTGCGGAACTGAATTGAGCAGAATGGATATAGAGGATTCGTCTAAACCGATTCCAACTGTGGGATTGACATGTAGTTGATAAATTGATTCTATATTTTCTTACATCTCCATGCCCAATATCACATATAGTACTTATTTGCTCCAACGACTTTCACCCGGTGAAGGGTGATTTTAGTCAGTAGACCTCAATTACCATGAAGTGTTAATCGCTGTAAGTTGGGGCAGAACTATGACAGAGAGAATTTCAGTAATTGAAATGATAAAATAGACAAAGGAAAAGAAGAGGAAGGTACTTTATTGCTGATTCTCAGCACAAAGGAGGTATTTGTAATATATAGTCCACGAGGATGGTATATATAGTTCAGGAGGATATTTTTTATGATTGGGAAGTTGAAAGGGTCAATCTATTGTTTGAGAAACTGAAACCTGTGTTGATTCAAGATGATGTGGTTGATTCATTGTTCTGGACAGCTAAGGCAGGTGGGAAGTTTTCAGTGAATTCATGCTTGGAGCAGCTGTCAAATCTGAATTCTACGGAATGAAGTACAGTGGACTTGGAAAATGTTATGGAGAACAAAAGCTCCACCAATGTGGTATATTTTGGATGAACTGGTTTACATTATGCATGCTTAACACAGGATAATCTGCTGAGAAGAGGATTCAGGTTATATAACAGGTGTTATTTTGTAAATCTTCAATAGAGACTGTGAATCACTTTTTCCTACACGACAATCAGATCTGGCGGATATGCGTATGCCTGGAAGCTTGAGAGAAACATTATGCAGCTGACAAGGCCAAAGACTAGGTTTGAGAACAATTCCCCTTTGTGTTTCAGGAACCATAGATGTTTTGATGGAGTAGGGGGTACTATAGCTTGTGATAAAAGTAGAAATGTCTTCAAAATCTTCATTTTTGGTATAAGTTGAGTCCTGTAAAGCGTAAACATGATAGATGGCATTCTTGATTATTGATTCCTTGCAGTCATAGAAGGAGTCAGACTAGTCCTCCGCTGTAGTCTTACCTGCACTATCTGGTGTAGTTTTATTAAGAAAATTACTTTGCTTATGGAAAAGAGAACCTAATGTTGTAAGTAGGTCTTAACCAAATCCCATGCAAGTGATTTTCTGAAAAAAAAGACCAGGTCTTAACTGCATCCTTTTCTAATACTACCTACAAATAACATCCATAGGAATTGCCGTTACACTTGGATATTAATCCAGCCACCAAAACTCCAAGTTTACTAACAATCAACTCTTTGTCATTGTTTACCTTCTTCTCTTCTAAACCCAGAAGTGCTCAGTTCATAAGACCATATCAGCGGATCTTCCATCTTGTAAATAAGGCATATCTGTCTAGGCAAAATTTTGGAAATGATACGGGGGGATTCCATCCACAAATGCAAAGTTTATGGGTGACTGATATTGCCCGTCACCATTTAGCTATTGCATTTATTTTTCTCGTTGCTTGTAACTTCAAATTTCCTTAGCCTCCCCGATCCACCAGGACTGTATCGGTCCGAACCAATAAAATCTACTTGTTTCCTCAACAAAACCCTCAGACAAGGGGATCTAAGCGTAGAGTTAAAAGTTACTACTCTTCTTAATTTTCTTTTATTTTTGGGTACAAGGAGAATTGTTTTGATGTGGGTGCAACAGAGATGTCAACATTTTACAGATACCATATAACTTTCGAAGAGTATAATATTCAAAATATGATATATTTATGAAAATGGTTTAAAATAGAAACTAGAAAGCTTAGGACAGAAGAAAAGTGAAGGCAATATAATCTTTTTGGAACAAGTAAAAGTTACTTTTTTTTTTTTTTGATAAAACTAACATTTTATTTCATCAAAAAACTGTCATTACATATCCAGATTAATGCTGACCATTAATCTCCTATTAACTATTTACATACATAACACTGATCTACACTACTTCATAGTGACTATATCTCGCCTAAGGAAAATTGTTTAAGCTCTCCAATTCCTTTTGCCATTTGGTCTTCTTTCTCCCTTGTATGTGTATATGCATAGCAATTTCCTTGCATACTTCATCCATGTTATATCTGCCTTTGTTGAATCTAATCGAGTTCCTTTCGCGCCAAATACAGTAAACTACCATCGCGAAAGTTGCTGTAGTCATTTCTGCTTTACAGTTCTTCCTACTTGCCAATCTGCTCATCCAATTCAGCTCATCTTGCCAGCTTCCTATCTGTCTTGTGATGCCAAGCCATTTCAATACTCTGTCCCATAGTTTGTGAGTTTTTGGACAGCCAAAGTATAGATGCTCAAAAGCTTCCATGTTGGTTGCACAGAACACACATTCTAATGGAGCTTGAATTCCAAATTTCATGAGTCTATCTACTGTTGCTAGCCTTTGATGAATAGCCAGCCATAGGTGAAATTTGAATCTAGGATGAATATGTGTATGTAAATGAATGCTTTTCCACATAACTTTTGGAAATTGAGGATGCATTTGAACATAAGCTCTATGGATTTGGAACTTGCCTTGCTTTACTAAGGTCTCCAATGTAGATATAAGGCTATTCTGTCCCGACCTCATCTGCTTCACATCCTCACTTGCCTCAATGATCTTCCTGATCACCCATGCTGCTGCTTTGGGTGTGTCCATTTCTGCAATGTCTTTGTTCTTTATATAATAATTGTGAGCCCATTTGATCCACAATGTATCTTTCTTCATAGCCAATGCCCGGAGATGTTTCAGTAGTGCTGCTTTATTCCATATCTTCATGTTTATAACATTCAAACCTCCTGTAGCTTTAGGCTGACATAACTTATCCCATGCAATCAAAGCTTTTCTTGAGCATTCTGTTGAGCCAGTCCACAAAAAGGTCCTACATATGATTTTTATCATCTTCATGATCTTTTTTGGCAACAAAAAAATTTGAGCCCAATATGTTTGTATTCCAAACAGCACAGATTTGATGAGTTGAATTCTCCCAGAATATGAAAGCAACCTGGCTGACCAGCATCTTACTCTTTCAGTTATCTTTTTTACCAGTGATAGACATTGGTGAATATTCAGCTTTCTTGGCGACAATGGAACCCCCAGGTACTTAAATGATAAAGAGCCCTCTGTATATCCAGTAAGCTCTATCAATTGCTCCTTTATGTGTTGTGCTATACCAGTAATATATATGGAACTCTTTTCTGCATTTGCTTGCAGCCCTGATGCAACTGAGAATCTATTAAAAGTTTCCTGTAATTTAGTAACTGAATTTATATCACCCCTGTAAAACATTAACAAATCGTCAGCAAAACATATGTGTGTTGCTCCCAGCTTCTTGCATTTAGGATAGTATTTGAACTCCTTTTGTATGGCCAGTTGGTTCATCTCCCTTTGTAAATATTCCATAGCAATCACAAAGAGATAAGGAGACATTGGATCTCTTTGCCTTATTCCTCTCTTAGCTGGGAAATGTTTGGCCAGTCCCCCATTTAGAACCAACGAGTAGGATTATGTTGTCACACATTCCATTATCCATAGGATGAATTTCTGAGGGAAGCCAAGATCAGTAAGCATGTACCTAATAAATTGCCAATCCAGTGAATCATAAGCTTTCCTTAAGTCTACCTTGAGAACACATCTTGGAGACAAGACTTTCCTATTATAGCCATTGAAGAGTTCATGTCTGAATAGGATATTATCAACAATACTCCTCCCTTCTATAAAAGCAGACTGTGCTTTCCCAATTATAAGCTCAATCACCTTTTTGATTCTTTTAGTCAGTATCTTAGCAATGATTTTGTATACAGTGGTGCAACAAGCAATAGGCCTATAGTCCTTCACTGTTGTAGGAGCTGGAACTTTAGGGATCAAAGTTATGGCTGTACAGTTCCATGCCTGCTTCATCTTGCCTGTTTGGAAAAAGAATAGCACATCATCATATATATCTTGTCTCACTTCCTGCCAATGCTTTGTGAAGAATTCTATTGGGAATCCATCGACTCCATGGGCTTTATCATTTGGCATGTCCTTCACTGCTTCATCTATTTCTGCATATGTGATATCCTGAATTAGGTCTTGTTGTTGTTGCATTGAGAGGCACTCTCCTTCTTTGATGAATTTGGTATTAGGACATGACTTTAGACCTGTGGCTTTTCCCATAAGCTGTTTGAAAAAGCTAGTGAATTCTTTTTCTACAGCTTTAGGGTCAGTGATCTTAACTCCCAATTCATTATATACAGAGGTAATTGTGTTCTTGCTTGCTCTGATCTTCAGTTGTGCATAGAAGTACTTGGAGTTTGAATCCCCATGATCAATCCAATTAACTCTAGCCTTCTGTCTTAGTATTTTCTCCTCTATGATGCTCCATTTCTCTAGATCCCGTAGTGTTTGCTTTTCCTGATCCATCCATACTTGGTTGAAAGGATCAAGTATCAAATTGGCCTGTGTACACTCCAGTTTCTGTCTAATCTGGATCAATCTCTGTTCATAACTTGCCATCTCCTTGTTCAACCCTCTAGTCTCATCTTTCAACTTTTGTAACTTCAACCAGATACCAGACATAGGATCATTTTCCATCTTCTACTTCCAAATTCTTTCTACAGTAGGCTTAAACTCCTTGTGTTCCATTGTTACCATGTACAACTTGAATGGCTTGGGATATATAGTATTCCTTCTCCATATTTGGACCAAGATTGGTGAGTGATCTGACACTCTAGGTTCTAAGCAATCAGCTTCCACATGCCCATAATCTTTAGTCCATTCAAAATTGCCAAAAGCCCAATCAATCTTACTGTATACTCTATCATTTGCACTTTGCTTATTACACCAAGTAAAGAAACATCCCTTAGTCCTCAATGGGGTCAGTTGCATATTATCTATACAATCCTTGAACTCCTGAACCTCATTCATAGTGACTGGTTGTCCTAATCTATCATCTGTGGTTAGGACATTGTTGAAATCACCACGTATGAGCCAGGGGATTTGAGTCTACCNGACAACTTTCATTTTCCAAGATCACTGTTCCGGCACTGTTCACTGTTCAAATATTACTATTCACTGTTCATTGTACTGTTCAAAATATCACTGTTCGCTGTTCACTGCACTGTTCAAATTTCACTGCACTGTTCTTGACTATTTGATTCTGCTATTATTCGGGTGCAAGATGACTGAAACGAAACCTACCGTTGATGTCATTCCGGTTATGTCCAAAATTACGGAGAATAAGTTCATGGGTTCCAATTACATGGATTGGAGTAAGAAGATCCGTCTCTATTTGCGGAACATTGACAAAGAGAACCACTTGGTTGATGATCCACCCAAGGATGAGACTAAATCAGTCTGGTTAAAG